ACCGTCTGGTGGGGTCCTGGGCTGCGGATGGTTTCGGGGTCCTGGGGGAGTGACGGGGGTGGCTGGTGGTCTGTCTTCCCCAGGGTTGTTCGGGCTCTTGGATTGTGGTCCCTGGTTGCCATGGCTAGCATGCTGGCTGGGGTGGCTGCCGGGGTCTGGCTGTTGGTCTGCTGGGGGTGTACTCTTGGCCGTTGGCGGTGTGTTGGGGTGGTCGGGGGTGTTGCTTTGCTGTGGCGGGGGGCCGGCCGGCTGGCCTGGTGCAGCCCGGGCCGGGCCTTAGCTGTCTGCTCTTCCACACCCCAGAAAGAATGGACTTGCCTCCTGGGTTCGGATATGGCCTGCCCTCTGTAGAGGGTGGGTACGTGTCCTGGACCTGGTGGGTATAGAGTGTGTATCGGGAGTGTGAGTGGGGTGTGGCGTTCTTCCTGTCTCTCTTTGAAAGAGTGGGTGTGAGAATGATGGGGGCACTGTGTAATTGTGTTTGTGTATGACTGAGTATTTGTCAGGCTGGGACTCGGACTGCCCCCTCATTTGGTTCACCTGAGAGTCCTCTGCTAGTGGTGGACTCTGCCCCTGGCCACACTGCCCTCTGGTGGGCTGGTGGCTCTCAATGTCTGGGGCTGGGTGCTTGGGCATGTGCCGGCTCGGCCTGGTGACTGCCTGGTGGGGCTTGGGTCCTCTGGCCCTGTCGGGTCTTGGCCTGGGAGGGGCACCCTGTGGATCCGGGTCTCTGTGTCCATGCCTGGTTCTGCTCCGGTGTGGCGGGGACCGGCAGGACCTGTGGTCGTAGCTGTTGGCCCTGTGGGTTCTGCGTGTGGTTGCTGGTGGGGCTCTCCTGGTTGTACGTAGGTGTGGATGTGTATATGTGTGTGTGCATATATGTTTATATATGTGTGCATGGGTATATGTACATACATCTGTTTAAGTTTGGTTGCTGGGTGTTTGTTCTCTTCATTTGCTGATGGTCAKATGTCGGGTGTGGTGTCCTGTGTGTTATTGGTGTTCATTTCTCTTGGATAATTTCTATCGGTTTCTCTCTTTACTGTTCTTATATTTCTCTTCTACTTTTTCTTTTTCTTTTTCTTTCTTACTATAGTATTATAAAATAAATAAATAAATAAATAAAGGAGAAGTGTGTTGTATCAATATACTGTTTAAGATTTTAAACTGAAACATGCAGCTAGTGGGATTATTAAGATCTTTGTTAATGGGATTTTGTGGCAATGTTATGAACAATAAATATCGTACTTGTTGTAGATAGCTGTAGATTACCCAATATTAGAGAAAAAAAAGTTTATTTCAAATCTCTTTGACCAGCTAGTGGCCAAGACCGAAGTAGATTTTTTTTTTAATTCAATGTCCAAAATACCAAACAGTTTGTTTTATACACCAAAGCTTGGTTCACACAGCAAGATTATTATGCTGATTTTTGGCTTGATTTTGCCCTACTGATAATCTTAAGGATACCCCAATTATTGTGATGGCTCTAAAGATATAATCTTAGGAGACATTCCTGCCATGTAGTTGGCTCAGAAGGGTGTTGGAACTGCTCCGACCTCAAATATTCAACRTGTTTGATTGTCTTGGCCCGATATCCCAGCATGCGTTGTTTCCTGRGGACAAACGAGCTCGCAGTCTGAATGTGATGTGCAGCCAATCAGAAAGGGATGCGACAGAAACATGGAGGGTAATCCAAAATACAGAAGACTCAACAACTGCCATGGCACACCAGAAAGTCCGGTGAACGTAGGAGAGGTCTTTTTGTTTATTTATTCTCTTTTAAAAATAGTCCACAAACTATCACTATGGCTTCTTCCTTGTCGGCCATGTTTACTTGTAACGTACGTTTGAAGATTTCCCGTCTGACATTTGGATGTTGTTGAGGGAAATCTGTTTGTGTGTGGAGTGTTGTTTTTTGCTGTGTGGCTGTACACCACACACTGTAGGACCAAAGCTGTTATATTGTTTTTTATTTCCATGTATGGAGTCTCTCAGCCTTTGAAAATCAACCAACAATTTTAAAATGTTGCTTTGTGAACCAGGCATTACACCACTGTCAACTTTGCAATATGCATATATAAAAATATATATATTTTTATACTTGCAAGAGCATACTGAACCTGAAGTCTAAAACTTAGTGTATTGATGGGCAAGCCATAAAATCACAGCACTTCCCTGTTTCTAACGTTTTTGTTTTTTTACATTGGATGGAAGAAACAGTTGTAAGAAATCTGAATGTAAGGTTTTTTTTTTAACRTAAACAATATTTTGCTGTAGTTTTATGACAGCTTCTATTGTTAAATAGTTATAGCTGTGTTGAACTTTTTTATTAGTTCCTAAATGTACTTTAAAGCTTTAAGCCTATTCGTGTTTTTCTCCTCTGTGCCAGTTTATTGCCAGAACTTTGCCACCAGCTTCAAAGAGAGCGAGATGAACGCCATCGCGGCAGACATGTGCACCAACGCCCGCCGCGTGGTGCGCAAGAGCTGGATCCCCAAGCTGAAGCTGCTGATGGCGGAGAGCGACGCCTACTCTGCTTTCCTCCCGGACGGCGTGAAGACAGAGGACGACGCGCTGGGGGTGGACCCGGGTTTCGACCACGGCTCGCTGGAAAACGCCGGCGGGGCCGGCATGGAGTCCGGCGGCTCCTCGGGCGAATCTCTGCAAGGCGTGGGCGGGGACGGAGGACCGTTGTTTTGAACGTTCGGTCRGGGGGGGGAAGGTGGAAGTCTAACGACTCGCCTATCCGTGTTTTCCCCAGATGTGCTTGCCTCCTCACTTTCTGGCCCACGCTGATCTCTCACATCTTGACTTGACGTTTTGACACTGCAAGTGGCAACAGCTGCCACCCTGATATAACAAGGACAAGAGAACTTACAGTTTCTGCTTTATTGACTGTGATATGAAGTAAAGGGAGGAAACGGATGGTGTAGGAGGGTCTGGCCTCCACCTCCGCTCGTCTTTATAATGTAAGTGCATCCACTGTTGCGTATTAAATACATTTCCTGAGGTGGAGGTGGTTGGGAGGGGGAACCGTCCGTTCTCCCTSAGGTGGAGGGGATGTCTGGATGAACAGGCTGGAGGCAGAGGTGACAAGTATATTGAATGTAAGTGTCACTGGCATTTTTCTCTATGCAAGCCTGACAACTTGTATTCCAACCTCGGGAAAAAGAACTAAAAAAAAAAAGAAATCCTCATTTAAACAAATTAACACTACTTGTTCTTCCGCCCCCGTGCATTCTTCCTCTCATTGCCCCGTGAGTATCCTTCAGCCCACCTCACCTTCGTCGAGACCAGAGAATCTCAAAACGAGTGCTTCACTGTGCCGCCTCTTGCAGAAGTTCTCACCTTTTTTTTTTTTGTTTTTGATTGTTTTTTAGTTTTGTTTTTGTTCTGTTTTTTTTCCACATTCCTGTCTGTGAAGGGAAAAGTGTGAGGGCGGGGAAAGCTTTTTACAGAGATGATTGTAAAGAAGATTGGGGGTGGGGGGCTAACAGGTTACTAAAGATGGTCTTATTTTTAGAAGACAAACTATATTTATACAAGTGCTCGCTTGGTGAGCAGCGAGAGAGATTGTTTTAAAATCTCAAATATTAAGCTTTTATTGAAAGAGTTCTTGTCAAATAAGGAAAAAGTGCTATTTTTGCAGGAGTATAACAAAAAGGAGTCTTATCATAGGAACCTCTGTCATTTATTTTTATCTTTTATTTCCCAGTGGAAGTGATGGAATGAGCAGTTGAACTGCTAATTGTGACACATTTCATCCTCTGTTCACCAGCCTTTAAGGAACAATAGGACTGTTTGGGCTGGCTTGACTGTGTCTGGGATTGCTCTTTCTCGTTAGGTTGTGCACCTGCAACGTTCACCTCCTTTGATAAAGCATTGGCTCGCAATTCTGAAGACTACTTGTAGAAATGTAAACGTTAGAATGATCTGACAACTCTGCTAGCTTTGTTTTTTTTTGTTTGTTTGTTTTTGTACAGAAAATGTTTAAAGTTAGTAATAATTGTTGGATAATAGAATGTGCCTTTTTAATTGTAATCAGGAAGAGGATGGTAATGAGCGCAGTAGGGGTGTAATGGTACATTTGGACTGAATTTACACAGTGCAGATGTCCTGGTTCAGTGTGTGCAATCAGACGAATGCGTCTGTCAAAGGGGGTCAACATTCTCGTGTAGAAAAGTGGGATTTCCTTTTTTTTTTTTATTAGTGGTTTCCAAACTGCTTCAACGGAAAAAGGGTAGAGTAATGTACCATATAAAGCACTCTACACCAAAGCAAAGTAAGAATTGCTGCTTCCCGGAAGTTTGAAAACCTGCCTGCTTGTTTTAAAACAGCAGTGTGGAAAACTTACATTATCCTCAATATCATCCAACAGAGGAGAATGAGAGGTGGAAGTATGGAAAGCCAAAAAGGCCATAATAAATAAGCTTAGACTCATGTTTCTAATAAACATTGTTAAATGCATCAGWAGACTTTTTATATTTGACATATCGYGCTTTTAAATTWGTGATGTTATTGTTCAACAAAGMGTAATAGAAAACAAAATAGAGAAAACTGAACAGATTGAAAAATATAATCCAACCAGAATATAAAGATATCTACGCAGCAGCAGGTGAGACTAAATTAAACTTTTCGGCACTCCTAGGAACTCACGTAGTAACAAAATATATTTAAGGGCTAAAAAAATTAGATTTAGCATATGTCCCCTTTAATAAACACTGTCCATACAGCAACAGAACACTAGCCTTCATTGAGCTWAGCTAGATGTTTTTAACTTTAYTGGTTTGTTTTTGCATTTTTAGCCAAACCGTCTGAAACAAACACTGTTTTAAAAAGAAGAGAGATGCTTTTCAGTTTTGTTTTTTCTCTTTCCTGGGCAGATTATTGGCTGTTTAAAAATAAGTGTTGCAGTTGTTTCATTTTTGTGTCATAGCTGCATCAAAACGGGATACCAAAATCTAGACACACACTGAACCATGATTTTGTCTGCACCGTTACCCTTCAGATGTCATGWGGAGCCGTAATCACCTAAAGGAAACAAGATTTTAATGGTACTATCTGTGTGTACGTGTGTGTCACATAGTTCTTTGCTAGATAACCTAAAATCTGCATTGTGCAGATGTCTCTTTATGTAATGAATTTATCTGTTGCACCTCTTCTATTCATGAAGTTTAATTTTTTTTTTAGCTTTTATTTTGAAGTTTGAGTTGACCTTTGCACCTTCCACGAGCGATAGAGTGGTGGTTTCTGCACCTTAATGAGAAGAACCAGTGGTTCACGCACCTTTTTTTGAGAAACGTGTAGCAATCAGCCCTCCCACTCCACCTGTAGGTGGAATTTGTCATTTATTTACCAGCGTACGTGCTTGTGTTTCTTGTTGAGAGGTGGCATAAACCAAGAAGACTGTTGAGTTCAATCCCAAGTGTTCTTCCTTTCTGGAGCTGGATGAKTCTGTTGTTTTTTTTTTTWAATGTGAAAGTGAGAGTTTGACTGAAAGCTTTTTTTTAATGCATGTTTACCCGTTGATCGTTGGTCAGWACAGAGGACACACTATTCCTGTTGCAGGAGGATGAAGGGTGGAAGTTTGTCAGGGTTGGACTTGGAATGTGCTCTTAACCTGAAATGCTCGGSGGGTGAAAAATATCTATACAAAAAAAGGTTCTACTTTTTATAAAACGAGTAGGAGGGAAAAAAAGAGTTTGTTCATTTTCAGTGCAGATAAACCGGTTTACTTTGGATCATGGTAGACTTGTTGTAACTCCACCTCTTTTTGTTTTAATCATTGTTTGAACTTGCAGGATGTCTTGATTTGGGATGGCTTAACTGTGAGATGTGCGAACAAAACAAAAATGCAGTACCTTATGAGTATTCTATAAGGATTATAACTAACAAAACCTCAGTTTTGCATTTGACTGTAGATGCCACACTGGGCACCCCTCCCCCCTCCGTCACCCTCTCCAGTGTCTTTGAAGACTGTTCTGAGTTTCCTGTCCTTCATGTGTGTCGTCTCCACAAGTTTAGGCAAATGTTTCAGAGAAGGGCAAAGCAGCCAAATTCAGGATGCAAATCTTTATTTTATCTTTTTTTTTCTTCCCTAAAGAGTTTAATTATAACTGTGATACTGTTTTACTGCAACACAATGACCCACTGACTGACGTGCACTCTTGAGTCATGTTGGGTGGATTTATTGTGAGTCATCGTTGAGTCTTATTAGGCCATGTTGAACCCAACACACTGCAGCCCGACCCAGATACACAGTTTTCCACTAAACTATTACCACGTAAGTGTATTGTATTGGGCCTAACCATGTTGGACTATTACTAACCTCGGTTTAGACTCTGCGTTACAGTTGATTGAGTGGAAACAAGCACGACTGCGGTACACGTCAACAGTTTAGTCAGTTTTCAGAAGTCCCCTATTCACAACCTGCTGAAACAGTTTTTTTTTTAATCTTCAAAAGGTGTATGTGTGTGCTCATTTTACAACTAAACCCACTCTTTTTTTTCCAGCTCAAAGCAAATTGTACTTTGTGCACTTTTCAGCATAGGTGTTTACATGTCACAACACGCGTATCCACACATTTGAATGGCAAAGGTGTGGCACAGCATGAGTCTTTAGTCATTAAAYAGTACATATATAAATATGATTATATACATGTATAGATAAATACTGWATATTATATATCGACACACATAGAGATCCGATTTGTCGGTTGTGCACTCGCAAGCATGACGTATATATTTACCCAGAAACGGCGCTTTTTTCTTCTTCTTCTTCACACATGTGCTGTGTCTTTTGCCCCTGCTCTTTTGCCCTCTGTAACCCTGTAGCACCAGTGGACTTCCTGTACTGCTCATCCTCCTTTTTTTTTTCTTTTTTTGTTTCTTTTTTTCTGTGTTCAAAGTGCCAATAACTTTGTGAAAGCCCTGTAACTGTGACCCGACATTTTCAACGGTAATTGCACATTGACAAATGTAAAAATAAAGACATGCAAATCAGAGAAAAGACTAAAAATAAATAAATAAAATGTCAAAATGGATTAAATAATGAATATCCTAATAAAAGATTTGTAACAATTCCTGGTGAGTCGCTTTTTCACTGCATCTTTTTTTAGATACACATAAAAAAAAACCTAAACAAAATTAGTTTCCTAAAGGAAAGAGTATTCTGTAAACRTGTAGCTAACTTAATATGTAGAGCTAGTACTAACAAAATCTATATTGTGGAGTAAAACATTTTGCTACAGTGGCAGATTGCTAATGTTGGTGATGATAAAAGTTTAACGTTGTCTCTACCATCTCTGAAAGTGAAGCACTGCAGAATTCACAAGTCGCTGTAGGCTTTCTTCTGGATGCTGTTTTACAAATATATTCTTTATGATTTACATAGCTGAATTGTGTTGCTGACTCAGCAGACATCTACCGCTCCCAGATAACCACTGCTCATTTTCTTGGAGTGCCACGTGCAAGTGAAGCGAGTGGGGATGGGTGACAGCCGGTAACAAAAATAGATCATTAGCAATGAGTTGCGCTTGGATTTGAATTTGTATGTTTTACATTCAATGAAAGCAAAGATGTTAAAAATAAATAAATAAATTGGACAATATTCTAGCTATTTAGTGATATATCTGCAGTTGTGGTCTTGACTGGTCTTGAAATAAAATCCCGAGTCCTTAAATGTCCGAGACCAAGACAAGACCGAGTGCAAATGTGGTCGAGTCTGTGACAAGACCAAGATTGGTCTCAAGTACTACAAAACTAGTTGGTACCTGGAAACTGTTATTTCTAACTGATTGTTGAAGCCTTTGAGTTTCACACTTAATGGCACTTTTTGTATGCTTCAAATTTAGAAAAGGTCTCATGAGGGTGTAGATGACTACCGTAGCTATTTTCTAATGTGAAATCAAGTTTATTTTTAGTTTGTTATAAACAACCTTTGCCAATTTAATTCCATATGGCAAGATTTTAGTTGGCACCCCTTCTAAACGTCTACCCACTGTACATTCTCATACCTAACTAAATAGTTTTGTCTTTGAAATTTTTTATCTTTAGAAACCAGGTTGTCCAATTAAAATAGTTAACAATATAAGGAATTTTCTCCTGGTAAGATGTGTTCAAAGCTACATTTTCCAGCCACCTGAAGAGCATTTTACTAAATTCTTATAACAACATAAAATCAGTAGTTTATAAAGGCAGAACACTGAAAACCACACTTTAACCTGAACTTAGTCTGAGATCATAACTGAAACTTCCATTATCCTTATTTTGTTTTCTATTTACACACTGAGCACTTTAGTCACTAAACATCCTCTGCACCATATAACTTGGTGCTGAGCAGGCTGAGAAACCCACAGAACAAGTTACCTTCATAAACTTGAGTAACCAGTGATTATTCTACAGACTAAATCAGCTATGCTCTGATAAAAATGTTATAAAGTATTTTTTCATCCCCCATTTGTGGCGCACCCTAGATGACAACTGTCCTTAATATTTGCTTACAC